CCCCAAAACCCCAAAACCCCAAAACCCCATTAATTAACTTTAGTATCTATGCATATAAAAATATAAATTATCATTAGATTAATTAGATGCAGTATATATTCAATATCTTGAATTATGATTGATAGTATATTCTCGACTCTCAGTAGCATAAGGTGGATTATTTTCTTGATTATAACTACTTGCTTTTGATTTTTAACCTTTCGCCCTCTATTTAAAATCATCTTACTCATTAATGAGTTTTTTGTTGCTTTATTTTTCATTTTTTACACCTGCTTCCTTTTTAGGAGTCGTGTTATGGTTATTTTTTTAGATCGAGAAAACATTTTAAGAGATATCTTGAAATGGATCTCCTTCTATACTCTTGACATTATATTCTATTACTTTTTCGTATTATCGAGTTTATAATATTTATACTTCCGGCTTTATGACCTCTTTTTAGACTTTAAACATCATTTCGTAAGTGCAAGGCTTGCAAGTCTCATTATTTTTACACTCATCACACTTACAGAGATCAGTACAATTCACACCAGACTAGAAACATTCGCAGTATTTCTTTTAGCAGAAAGATTTCTTACAATTACACCCTTTGAAATGCCTCTTCTCCTTATCGCTAACAGCAAGGATGCCAAATGTAATTGGCTTTGTAGAAACACTTAGAAGGACGTCACTTTACTCTTGAATATTTATCTTATCAATTTTAATGTCTTTATTAAATAACGAATTTTCATCCAAAGATGTCTCTATCTTAGGCCTAAATGCTAATGGATTTCTCATCAGTATTTGCTCCTTTGCTTGTAAACGCTCTTCATCATGTTCTGCATGATTACTACAGCCATTACAAGAACAATTAGCTCCACAGAATTTATTATTTGCAAAGCACTCGCAATATAATTTTAAGCATTTTGATCTTTTACAGTTGCAAGCCTTAGCAGAGGAATCTGGTACAATACTTAATGATTCAGGCATCTTCGAGGCATTATCCTTCTCTTCTACTTAATTAATATCTGTAGAGTTATCTTAAACATCTTCTTTCATTATCTAATCTTGATTCTTTGGAATGACATTTGCGTTTGGATCATTTTCAGTCTCAATTTTATTCAAAATTTTTTTTGCAAGAATAGCTTTGCTCAGAGATGATATATGTCTTCTTTTTTATGGCTTGTCTAGATTGTTCAAAACTTAATTATCAAAATTTTAATTGTTATTATAATTATTATTTGCAGAATTCGATTAATTATTTGTGTTTGATACTTCATTATCATAAGATAATTCTCCATTATTGTTAAATGAATATTGATCATAGTCTGCCTTTGATCTATATCTCTTGCCAAGTATCTTTCCTTCTGCATCTTTTTCTTTTTAATTTTTTATTTGATTAGTGGCTTATATCAATAATTGAGATAAACACTCAGGAAGAGTTTTAAAAGAGCTGCTAGAGGAGATTACAGAGCCATTTATATTTTTGTTATTGATCGAGGTTTTATTTTAAATGATTTGTGATTTAACTTGAGGCTGTTAGTTATATTATTAGAGTTATTATTTTTCAGCAGTTTATTTAACTAAGGAATTTAAGTTCTTAGTAAATGCGCTAACATTCGAAGAGATTGTTACTTAGGAACTCTATTATGATGACTAATGTTAGTTAGATAGCGCGATAGGTCTTAATGGCATATCAAACACTCCACTTCGAGATTCTAATTCATCATTAGTATGTTATCTTTCATAATCTTGTGTTCGGGTTTGAAATCCGTAAGATGATTATCTGCTGAAAGAGAGAAAAGAATTACTGTTAGTTGTAGTGAAGCTTGGATACTCCATTGTTAGGTTTCTTTGCAGTTAGCTGAGACTGTTATTACTTATAGATCTCTATAACTGACCAAAGCATTAAGGAATCGGTCTTTGAGGTTTTGGGCTAACTAACTTTGGTAGATCTCTAGAGGACTCCTGGTTTTGATATGTTTAGCTTGTTTTGTTGAAAACAATAGTGTTTTATTGATTTATAAATGGATCTACGTTTAATTTGAGACCCATTAATAATTGTTCAGCACTCTGATACTAAGTATCATAAGTTTTTAAGAATCTTTGCAGATTGTTCGCTCCTAATTTGTTGGAATTCATGGCTTGAAGTAGCTTGTTTCTAGTTGTTAAATACAAAATTAAATTTATAATAAAGTCGTTAAAAACTTGAATTTAAATTCCCTTAATTATTATTAAGTCAAATTACTTCAATTCAAAGGATAATACATAAGTAGGGGTTTTGGGGTTTTGGGGAGATCGGAAGAGCGTCGTGT